TGGGTTACACCTTTGCCAGTGGGTTCAGGAGCGCATGACCAGTGGTCTCTGGTTTGCTCAGTGAAGCGGGGGGAAGCTGGAGAGGTGCTAGGATTTTGGAGGGGCCTGGGGCGCCTGGGGAGGCAAGGAGCAGTGCTGAGGGCGTCCCTGACCAGTAATTTCCACCCGCTCCAGGGGCTGGCTGACCTCAGCAGGGGCTCGGGCCAGCCACACTCCTGGGCATGGCCTGGTGCTGGTGGGGGGAGCTCAGGAGGGTATCAGAGGGCCCCCCCGGAGACCAGTCCTGTCCCCGGCCCTCGCACCTTCATCTCCCGCACATTCTTGTCCCTCTTGCGCTCCATGCGCCACAGCTCGGACATGCACTTCTCCAGGTTGGCAGCTCGGTGGCGGTACTCGATCTCGTAGTGCTGGCGGCTGTCCTGGGGGTGGGGGCGGGTGGGGGAGGGAGACCCACGTCAAGAGCTCTGGACGCCTGGCCCATGGGTCAGAGCGCTGGACAGGGCAGGCGGCTCAGCTGGGAACGTGTGTGCCCTGGGGCCGGGCACTGCCCAGCCCTGGCCTCGGTGCCATCTGTCAGGCGGGAAGAGGCGGCGGCCAGACTCACTTTGATGAACTGCATGTCCAGCTTGGTGTTCTTCTCCATGTGCTGCAGCAGGTCTCCGTGGAACGTCTGCACCTGCGCAGAGGGCAGCGGGTGGTCAGGCGGCCCCTCCCCTCTCAGGCCCCAGCATGCCTTGCACTGCCCACGCAGACCCATTGCCCACCCAGTGCTAACACACCAGGCACCTGCCCGGTCATTAGAGAAATGGGTGTAGCAAGAGTGCCTGGCTGGAGGAGGGATTAAATGTTAATCATGAGAAACACTAAGTGTGGCACCTCGTTCAAACACCCTCGATAACTGTGCCAGCGGCCCTGGTTCTACTCCTGGTCTCAGCCGGTGCTTTGGTGACGCCATTCCCCCTGCCTGGACCCCCCACCAATCTTCCAATGCCTGCCCCCTGACCTCCCGGCGGGGTCGCTGCTCAGTCATTTAGTTCCTGAAAGGTGTGTACATCTGTTCGGTCACTGTCCACTCCTCCAGCCACAGGACAACATCTCTTGCTGGGCCCTCTTCAGCCCTTTTGTATGAGCAGCGAGCACTGTGGGTAGGAACCAGGTCTGACCCATCTCTGCATCCTTGGCACCGTGGGCAGGGCTGGGCCCAGCGGAAAAGTGCTCAGAACGGCTGACGCCTTAGCTGTGGGGGTGGTAGGTTCCCGTGACAGGTGAGGAGAAGGCGGCTGACCACTGGGGGACCGGGAGGCCAGGGGAGGCTTCTGAGCCCAATCTTGGAGGAGCTAGGTCCTAGTTCTGCTTGTGTCTCCAATTTGCTTTGTGATTTTGAACAAGTTGCTGCCCCTCTCTGGGCCTCAGTTTCCCCACCTGTAATAGTAAAGGGTTGGCAAGGTGCTAAGGTCCAGCCCGATAAACCCGATGAGCTTTGTTTTGGGCCTCAGTGGTCGCCTGGCACATTCGCTTGTGTCCCATCGTGTTCCCTGGGTCACTCTGCATCGTTGGGGCATCAGATCTTCAATCCTTCCAGCTGCCCTCTCTGCCCTGGAGTTCAGGTTGCCCAGGGAGCGGAGAGGAGCATCTCTCACCCGCTGCCACCTCCGCCTCTGGGGACCGTCACCTCTGCTGGCATCCTACCTCCTGCCACGGGGTTCTCCCTGCGGTGCTGCGGGGGCTCTGTCCCCCGGGTACGGCATCGCCCAGAAAAGGAATGCTGGGAATTTCCTTCCAGGATGCAGGAAAACCAGTAAGTATAAAAGTTCTGAATTGTAACTTTTCCCCCACAATTGTTTCTGAAACTTTGGTAATTGCTGGTCTGTAAGCGACTGGCCACACCCTAACCCCCTGAGCTGTGGCTACCAGTGTGTGAGTGAGTGTGTGTGTGCGCACGCGTGTGTGTGTGTGTGTGTGTGAGGGTATGTGTGAGTGTGTGTGTGTGAGTGGGTGTGAGTGAGGGTGTGTGTGAGTGTGTGTGTGTGTGTGTGTGCATGAGTGAGGGTGTGTGTATGAGTGAGTATGTGTGTGTGTGTGAGTGTGTGTGTGTGTGTATGAGTGAGGGTGTGTGTATGAGTGAGTATGTGTGTGTGTATGAGTGACGGTGTGTGTATGTGTGTGTGTAAGTGGTGTGGGGCGTGTTAGTGTTATGAGCTGCACTGAGTACACACTTCCGGCCTGTGTGGGCCCTTTTCTGCTGGATCCACGGGAAGTACAACTTCCCAACCGGCGAGACCTCCCAGCCAGGCGGCGCCCACCGTCCTCCTGGCCCTGCCTCCCCCTGAAGAGACAGGTCGGGATTCCTGCCTGAACACAGACTTGTGCTCCCGAACATCCCACATCCTGCTGAACCGCCCAATAGAAGCCACAAGGCTTATGGGAGATGTGGGGCTGGGCAGACGTTCAAAACCCAGACAAGTGTGTAACCAGCGCTAGGAAAGAGGCGACTGGCACCTGGGAGACGAGCTTGAAGTACACTGAAGGCCACAGAGAATATCACAGACGCACAAAGCCAACAGAACGGACATGCTGCCCCTCAGCTACTGCAGAGCTGGCCTGCTGAGGAGGTGGAGGAGGAAGTGGGCTGTCTGCGGGGGGCCGGGGAGGCAGGGGGGCAGAGATGGTTTCAAATGTCCTTATAATACTGACAGCAGACAAACTGGGAGCCTTCTCCCTCCTCTTGATTCTGTTTTCCTCCTCCCTCTCCTCTTGCCTGGAAACACTGCCGGTGAACAAGCCCCCTTCCATCATATGATGTCACTCCTGCTCCAGTCACATCTGGCTGCGCCACCGCGGCAGGGTGAGTGCACAGAGGGGCTATAAGGCGCCCCATTGCCGCGGCCTGACGGCGGTCGCAGACGGGGAGAGGGCACAGCCGAGGCGCCCCCATCGGATGGGCCCGGCACAGGGCAATGGCAAGTCCCCGCACGCTCCTGGAGGCACGGATCTGTGGAGGATGATACTCCACGCGGACTTTGCGCTCTCGCGGCGGGGGAAGCAGACGACTGTCAATAATTGGCAGGTGGCTTTGCAACAAGGAAGTTCCCACCCAGGCAGGCTGAGGACTCCTAGCAGGTCAGGACAGACTTCTCCCCTGACCCCCGCACTATCAGTGCGTCCTGGAGGCCCCGTGCGGGCAGCTGAGGGCAGCCCCGCTGCTGGGAACATGGCTGCCAGCTCTGTGTGACCCCAGGAACTCTCACAAGACTTCTGCCATCTCCACGGGAGACCCCCTTGAAGGAACTGCCTGTGGGCCGAACCCCCATTTGTTCCTGAATCCCCTGCAGTCAGGCTATGCCCTGCCACGCCAACAAAATGCTTTTGTCAAGGTCACGGAGGCTCCATGTTGCTAAGTCAGTTCTCTGGACTCACCCACCTCAGCCAGCCATCACCACTGGACGCGACTGGCCACTCCCTCCTCCTGAAACACCTGTTCCCCCAGCCTCCAGCCGGCACCCTCTCCTGTTTCTCTCACCCCCACCCCTGGCCACTCCGTCCTTTGCTGAGTCCCCCCGTCTCCCTGACCCTTTAACGCTGGGTCGACCCAGAGCTCAGGCCTTGGGCTTCTTCCCTTCCTCACTACGCGCCCCCCCCCCCATGAGTTCCTGCAGTCCCCATGCTCAGACGGCCATCCCAGCCCCAACCTCACCCCCAAACTACAGTTTTCCTGTGTGCGGCTGAGGCGTCCACCTCTCCAATTGTCTTCCAATCATCATCTCACACTTATCTTGTCTAAACTGAGCCCCTGGCCTCTCCTCTCCATCCAAACGGCTCCACATTCAGTTTTTCCACCTTAGCTAATGGCAACTCCACCTTTCCCGTTGGTCAGGTTAAAACCTTGGAGTTACCTAGACTTTCTCCTTTCTTTTGCAACACACATCCAATCCAGCAGGAAACCTCATTGGTTCTACTTTCAATCTGAGGTCTTCTCAACACCACCACTGCTGTATCCCTTTCCCCAGCCTACCTCCCTCTTCTAGATTACTGCAACAGCCTCCTAACTGGTCTTCCGCTTCTGCTTTTGCCCTCCACAGCTATTTTATTCTTTTAAAAATATTTTTTTTTATTGATTTCAGAGAGAAAGGGAGAGGGAGAGAGAGATAGAAACATCAATGATGAGAGAGAATCATTGATCGGCTGCCTCCTGCACACCCACTACTGGGGATCTAGTGCACAACCCAGGCATGTACCCGACCAGGAATCAAACCGTAACCTCCTGGTTCATAAGTTATGCTCAACCACTGAGCTGTACCAGCTGGGCACTATTTTATTTTTAGTATAAGAGCCGGAGTGATCCTACTAAACTATAAGTCAAACAATGAACAAGTGGAAAATGATATTTTAAAATGCCATTTACAAATGACTTCAAAAAAGGTCAAATACCTAGAAATATGTAAAACTACCAAAAGATGTGCAAGACTGCTACACTGAAAATGACAAAACATTGCTATGAGAAATAAATAAATAGAGCGGCATACCATGTTCATGGATCAAAGGACTAGATATTATTAAGATGACCATTGTTTACAGATTAATGAAATCACTATCAAAATGCCAGCAGGCTTTCTTAGAGAAATTGACAAGCTGATTCTCTAATGTATAGGGAAATGCAAAGGATCTTTCATGGAGTGGACAATTTTGAAAAAAAAGAAAAAATTCTTAGACTACTTGATTTCAAGACTTACTATAAAGTTACAGTGATTTATACAGTGTGGTATTGGTATAAGGATAGACAAAGATACTGATGGTCAGAGTAGAGCAGTGATTTTCAATCTTTACCTCATGGCACACATAAACTAATTACTAAAATTCTGCAGCACATCAAAAAATATATTTTTTTGCTTATCTAACCAAAAAACATATCATTTTGATTCATTCACACAGAATAGCTATTGTTGTGTTCGCCGTTGTCATTTTTTTTTTTATTTGACAATCTAAGGGCGAAAAGGTCAGTGCCACTGACTAAATAGCCAGGCACTGCACGTTTTAAAAAAATTATTGTGGGGAGAAACCAAGATGGTGGCATAGGTAAACACCGGAGATTGCTGCCGCAAACAACCACTTCAAAAATACAACTAAAAGACGGAACGGACATCACCCAGAACCACAGGAAGGCTGGCTGAGGAGAGACTCTTCAACTAGAAGGAAAAATAACAGCACACCGAGGCTCAGAGGAGGCGCAGTGTGGAAAAAACTCAGGTGCGGAGGTGCGCGCGCAAAGCGGGCTGGTGGCTGAGAGCGCGGTTGTCGTTTTCGGTCAGGGGGGAGTCTCAGACTCTGAGCTCCAGATACGGGCGAATCGCTGGGGACTCGGACCCAAACGGGAGAAGCGGGAGTGTCTGGCATCAGTTGGAAGGCAGCTTTCCCTCCGAGGTTTGCAGCGGTTCCGGGGGTTCTGAGAAGCAGAGCCTCTGGGAACAGGACTGAGGGCACCATAACGGCTCCCTCCGCCCGCCCTGTTGAGCCCGCCCCGCCCAAGCCCTGCGCAGAGCCATTTGCCGGATCGCCTCAGGCAAAGGCTAGATTAGCACCTCCCCAGAGGACAGAAGTTTTCCGCGGCAGACACAGCTGATTCACACAGCCAGTCGGCCTGGTGGTCAAATCCCTCTAGTATTAACTACAACAATCAAG